GATTTAGGTATCAGCTTTGTTAATGTGAAGATTATTATAAATTTTAACTTATCCACCTTTATGAAATTAATAAAATATAATTAGCGATTAACTTGAAACAAGTTGTAGCCAGCAGCAGGGACCTAGTTCGAAAACTTGTGAGAAAGTATTGGTAACATCGTCGACAACTTTTCTATGGAATCAGTTAGTGTACTTACTATTCGCTCGATAGGTGCTGCACAAAAGTAATGCACATTTCGCCAATTGCGTTCATAATATTTTACCACGAGTTTTCGTGCTAGGCCCACAAAAGTACTATGGTCTACGAGCGTATTCCCGAGATGAGAGTATTAGCAATAACAAAAACATCATTTTAATCAAAACTAACGCCGCACTTATAATTGCTTTTAAAGCGAACATAACTTCACAAAGGAATACTAAAAGAATAAACAACTCTAAATAACTTGTAAAAATCTGTTTTTATTTCTAGGAATGGCATGTCTACATGGGTATAGAGTTCAGAGTTGTGCTACGGGCGGGAAGAAGTATGCCTTCGAAGTGATGCCGACGGAGACGAAGCAACGACACTTCTACTTCCACACTGAATCAGAGATGGATAGGAAACGGTGAGTTGCTGGTCTTCTGCAACAAAAATGATTAAAATTCACTTATTACTGATACTTTTAATGTAGATGTCTACTGCAGAAAAATCCATAACAAATGATATCTTTAAGACATTTATTTCAGAGATGAGAGATGAGATAATGATTTTAGTGTAATTGTTCTGGCAGTGGTGCTTAGCTCACAGTGCAGATACTTTACAGAGTCAGATGTTGATTACTTTTAAATTTTTTTTTTTCAAGTTACTCAGAAAAATCTCCATCTATCTGAGATAAAGGTTTAGGATTGTTTTAATGATATTAAACTTTTGGTTTTAAGAGCGTCGGTGGCTCAGCGGTCAAGCACTTAACTTGCAATCTGCAGGTCCTGGGTTCGAATCCCGTCATGTACCAATGTGTTTTTCAATTTCCGATTTATATATGTATGTACGTTTATCCGACGTTCTTACGGTGAAGGAAAACACCCTGATGCTGCACATATCTGAGAAGAAATTCAAAGATGTGAAGTCAACCAACCCGCACTTGGCCAGCGTGGTTGACTATGGCCTAATCACCCTTAACTTAGGATAGGCTCTGAGCCCCTCGGTGGGGACATATAGTGAGCTGATGATAATGAATATTTTGGTTTTATTGTTATAGATGGATGGCAGCCTTGGAGTATTCTATAGATAGATGGATGAAGGCCGGTTGACGACGCAATATTATTTCCGAAGATTCATTCGATATTGTATAATTTATTTCATAAATATAGTAGACATTAAGTAGTAATTATTTAAAAAATATATAATTCCTTATTTCCTTACGTAAACGACCAAAATTATAAACCGTACTGTATTATTATAATACATTAAAATCATCGAATTATTTATTTTACATTGTTAATAATTCATGAAATTATATCAGATGTGTTTATATTTATTAAAATAGTTGCGTTATTTTTATCAATTTTAAGGTATCAATATACTAGAAGAATAAAAACGTTGGTACCCGTCCCTATTAGAAACCCTGCCTGATATACCAAAGAAAAATTAGAGATTTTGAAAATTATAATAGTAGCATAGTTCTATAAAGTGTAACACAAAGATAAAATAATTAAAAAGAATAAGTTTGAATGAGATTGGGGATAGACCGTGAGTCCACATTGCGTAATAAATAAAAACATTATGACGTCTCATTCTATTTAAGAATGTTAGAAAGAGATATAACATATTTATAGCTCATAGTTCATTCATAACAACTTGATAGCCTACGCGGCGTCGACGTGTAGACCACTCGTTGATGTCGCGTCCTTTTAAACAGTACGAAATGGTATTAGATAAATTGTAACGGTGCATCGAAAAGGAACATTGTTAATAAAAGCATAGCTTTAAACGATGTTATTCTAAAGTAATGTTATAAAGAAAAGTGTTATTAAAAATTAAATGACTTTATAATAGAAGTGACTGAAAGTAATGAGACTTTATCAAGTTTTATTGACGAATAAAAACTTTGTGAAGGATGGATATATCCGAGAGATGATGGATTTTTCAATTCATAATCGGGATGTAATGAACTGACGAATCATCCAATATAATCATTTTCAATATGTAACTGTCAAATTCAAATAATTAAAATGAACTTGTATTATAAGTTTGTCTCTTTAAGATAGATTAGTTTGACAACTGATGCCTATGTAGTATCGTATTAATTTTGTATGAAAAATAATGTTAACTCTAATGGACGGTTCAGCTATGAACTATCGAGAATCTGTCTTGTAATATTACGAATCGAAGAAATAAATACTATTACTTGGGTATTTTATTACTTTTTGGGTTTATTACAGATATTTGGCTTTGTCTCGCGCAATAAACTAAAAAAAATCTTTGTTCGTCACCATCTCCATGTTACTAGTTTAGTTTAGTCTGTAGTTTAGAACAATAAAGTTGGCATAGAAAGAAACAATTCCATTTATATTGTAAATCAAAGTCAATAATCACGAAATTTTCGATTGCAAGTTCTATGAAAACAACCATCGAAAATCGAAAACCAATTTTAATCAACCTATCACTAGTGAATTGTCAAATGAATTTTCAAACTTATCTATCTTAAATAGATATAATATAACTAGTATTAAAAATGAATAAAATGAGTGAAATGACAAGACAGATTAGTTTACAATTTGATGACAGTTCATAATATGTCATATTATCAGATTAGAGATTGACGTAATTCGTATGAATTGATAAAGGATACAAAAAATGGAAAAAGAACCATTTGTTTTCCTTAAAAATGTTTTGGGTAAAGGCCCAATATTAATAAAAAAATATCGTCATGGAAGTGAAACGTGAAATCTTCTATCAATGTAATAATATAATATAGATTGTAGTTAAAATTCTAACTAATCCTAGATTACGATATCATATTGTGACGTTTTTGGAAATATTATTCTATATTAAAATATAAATAAAAAATTTCCTATAAAAGTAGTACTGAATTACATAGAGACGGTAAAACAGGTACAGTCGCGTACACTGAACTTTTTGTTTTATTTATTTTCTAATTAGATATTGTAAGTGACTGTACTATATTGATGTGCCAAAACTTATTATGGCTTTATTGTAAATGACATCTTAGATGTAAATCTTTACAAAGATATAGCAAAAAAGAAAAATTTAAATTGATTATAATTGAAATGAAATATTTAATTTAATTAAAAAATAATAAAATTAACGTTAATTTATTGTATATTCATATTTTATCGATGTTGTAAAATTATTTCTATTCAAAAATTTTTATCTCATACAGCATTAATAATTTCTTATATTATTAAATTATCCTATTTTTAAATATATTTGAAATATTATTGGTATAATAAAATTAATATCAGATTATTAAGTAGATTTATAAGAAGCAAAATCTTTTTAAAACCTTTAGAATGTGGTCCATATTAGGTGACTTAAAATTGTGCATTAAATTATTAAATAATAGGAAAAAATAAATCCATGATAAATTTGATGTATAGATAATCGTGTAAAAGCTCAAATACATATAAAAAAAATTGAATAAAGACTTGAACTAAAACAGACTCGGTTTTGTGCTTTTAGATATTACTTATGTATTAGTGTATGTAATAATTATATATTATATACTTAATAATTTTATTTTAAATTTTTTCCATTATAATAGTGCACGTTACATATTCATTCTATTATATATATAAAAGAAAGTCGTGTTAGTTACACTATTTATAACTCAAGAACGGCTTTACCGATATGTCTGAAAATTGGTAAGGAGGTAGCTAACGCCAGGAGACGGATATAGGATACTATTTATTCATTTTTTTTCGAATTTATGCCTCGAAGAGCTGCTTTTTATTCAACTTATTTATATATTAAGTTTTTTTATTATATATATGCACGCGGACGGAGTCGCGGGCGACAGTTAGTGTTATATATTTATGATAAAATAGATATTGTGATGTGTTCAGTAAATAAGGAATCAAATCTTTTTGCGGAATTTTAATCACATATTTTAGAAATAACGATTTATTTTACTGGATGTTTGTCGAAATGTTCTGAAAAGAAGATTTATTGTAAATAGTTGAGGATACCATCCGATACCAAAGGATTAATTGCAAATATGATGTTCGTAGATGAAAGCTTATAATAAATGCATGTTATTTTAGATTCAAGTTACCATTGTCAGATTTAGAATCGTAGAAATATATATGTATGTCTTAAATGGGACTTTTTTAAATATAATATATGTGACTGTAATAATAGACTTCGATGTAATAAAGTATAAAATAAAATGATATTCGTATTTTTTTTTCAAATCGCTTAATCTATTTATTCAAAACGTAACTTTTACCACCACGATTTCCCTTGTCACGTTGAATTTCTTTATCAGTAAAGTTAGAATATTGACTAAAACACAATAAATGTGTAAGTATACATCTTTTATGTTTTTCAAATATCCATCCTCCACGCGAATCAGGGTTACCAACCAATTCATATAAAATAAAATAAAACAATACAGTTGCTTTCAAAATTTTATTAATAAGTAAGGAAAGAGTAAATAACTGACAAATCATTTTGTAGATTTCATTCAGGATTAATACAAAAATGTTAGGGCACAGTAAACATTTGAATAAACATTTTTGATCAATTAACGACTCCGGACGAAATTCATGATGGCCAATTCAAACAGTCAAGGGCGGCGTCAATTTACATGACTTATAAGCTACTAACATGAAAAATAAACAAACGAACGATATCCTTCCCTTTTTTATTGCTTCCAAAGTAAAAACAGTATGGAATCGAAGGCTTCGCTGGCGCGGCGGCTGACGGCCGGGCGGCGCGGGGCGGGGGCCGCCGGGGCGCTACTGCCTCCGACGACGTAGGCGCAGTAGTACGCGCGCTTCTCTCCCACCAAGCGCTCGCCGTGTGCGCACGCGCAGCCTCAAACGTATAGTATCATTACAGTGATAAAAAACATTTGGTATCAGTGGATTTCAGTGTGTATACGAACATAGTGTTATGTGCTTTCCCCTAGTGCCACGGCGTACAGGAAAGAGTCTGATAACTTTATATATTTTTAACCGCAGTGTCTATTAACTGTTTATGGCCTGTACAGTGCGTCTATTGTTGTGTGCGCCTCCACTAATCTCCTATTCACCTGTTCGTGCCACTAGCTGCGGTTGGACTGTGAAATGTGACAAAAAATTGCAAAGAGCCTGGCATTTTACGGTTCGGACCCTCGGTTTGTAAACTCAGTGGATTAACTACCTGACTACTGGAGTGTGGACGCGACCGACGATCGATCGAACAACCCGTCGCCTTGTGAGTCCCATTTTTTTATATGTAATGTAATATAGCGGATGTGGAATAAATTGGGTAGACAGGGTGCGCTTGACTTTGCTACCTGTTTTATTACATAGTCATGTGTCTGATGGATGCGTGTGATTATGCATACAACGATTGTTTTCTTTTTATATGTTTTTTTAATGGTAATACCACCGGAGTTGAGAATAATAGCCCCAAGTAACGGTCCGTGGTTTGCGCGATTGTTGTTTTACAATTGTATTTAAAACGTTTTGTGCCACCGGGTTTTGCTAAGATTATAATTATCGTTCCTATTGTCTTTGTGTGGAAAATTATTTCTGCTTTGTGTATTGTGATATAATCTTTATTTGTATATAAAAAGGTGTTACAACTTAAACTAGATAATACTCGTACAGATAATGCAATACAAACGTTGCCAACTGATCGCTACTTCATCATCATCGACTCACTTACGTGCTCACTGAGTGGCTCGGAGCCTACCCTGAGTTCGCTACTTAACTGACATGAAATTTCTTACAGACGTTTGATATATTCTAACTGGTCACTTAAGATTTATATTTTTATCGCATTTGAATTAACGTTAAAAGCAAATTAGACTACCGAATAGAAAATCGAATCGTGTAGATAATTTTAAATAACGTTTCTAAAGTATGTATCCAAGATTACCATTAGATTGAAATTATGGAAATGGTTTTGTATTCCTTAAGCTAAGCAACCAATACGACCGACTACTAGTTTGTTTCAAGTACTATTTAACGTCGGTGTTACTATTTGAGCGTCGTGGGCTCAGGGGTCAAGCACTTGACTTGCAATCTGCAGGTCCTGTGTTCGAATCCCGCCATGAACCAATATATTTTTCGATTTACATATGTACATTTATCCGACGTTCTTACGGTGAATGAAAACACCGTGATGCCACCTGCACATATCTAAGAAGAAATTCAAATTCTGAAGTCAACCAACCCGTACTTGGCTGACTATGCCCTAATCACCCTTAACTTAGGGTAGGCTCCGAGCCCCTCAGTGGGGACGTAGCTGATGACATTTTCAACGTACATATTATCTCTAGATAGGAAGTCTCATGATGTCATGTGACGTCATATTTATTTCTTGAAAACTTTGCTGCTATTAATAATAACGAAGGATTAGTAGGAAAGTATAGTCTAACTTAACCTTCCTACTTAAAGTTCGCTTTTTCTATTTGAAGCTCTTTGACTTGCTCTAACTTTTAATCTCTAATTTTGAACAAGACTTTTGAGCAATATGGATAGTTAAGACATATCTAATTTTTGCATAATTTCATGTGTAACTAATAGGTGTCTTAATTGACCAAACTTCGGTAAAAGGTAAATAGCGTTATGTAATCTTATCTTCAAAATAATCTCTACACTTCCGTATTAAGGTAGAGCTATATTTTAAATAATACATTAACGTATCCATTGGTATAAAGGTTTCATAAGAATTTCTTTATCAAACATTTATTGACTTTTGAAAGTATTTAATTGTCTTACATTTATGTGAATCCAAAATAAATTTTGAATTACTACTACCACGATACCTGGGTAACAGTGTTCCTTATCACTCTCAATGTAATAAACAGAGACAGTAATATATTTCATATGTACTGTAGTGAAACTCACGAATATTTCCGATGACTTTATAATTCATGAGTTTTAAAATAATTTTTGTAATGAAGTCTTTTTAACTAATTTTAGGCCATACTTTAATATAAAGTGTGTACCTAGATTTCTGTAATTTCTCTCTACATAGCTAATATACTGTACAGTAATATCAGCTTTCCTAATTAGTTTCTTCCAGTTCAATCTGTCCTCGAGTTCGTCTGAGACTTGGTACTGACCTATGGCTTTCAACACTATCCACTTTGTTATGGATCTGTCCATGGGTCTTACTATGGATTATCTTGTTTAATTAATTCGATATTAATATATTATTTGTATATAACTATCTGTATATAGCCATGTTCGCTTTGCGGTCTATCGCAACATGTTTGTGATACATTATCCACGCGTGTCATAGTGGCGGTCACTTCAAATAAAAAAATATATCTACTCAATATCAAAAACCTCGTTCCTTTGATTATCGTGTTTTATCAAGTAACATTTTACATTTTATGAAAGAATATTTTTTTATTTGAACATAATATCGCAGACAATAACGTCTGAGGATATTTCTAATAATGTCGCGGTATTTACTACATAAAGCCGACTACACACCTACAGTTCAGTTCAGTGTACATGTATAGGCAAACTGAACTGTCCCTTAAAGTGTATTAGTTTAGCCAAAACTTTAGTGCAGTTAATACTGAATGAGTACCGAGTTTAAGGCTAAAAAGGAAAATATATTTGCTACTCACTACTGCACTCATAGTAATTTAAGGGTCATTTAAATCTACACTAAACGGCTTCGGCTAAATATTTGAATGGATGTTAGAAGAACTGCTTGATGATGATGATGATGAATCTCGCTGAAATTCGGCATAGATAAACATAGTCTGGAAGAACACATAGGCGACTAATTGTTTTTTTCTTAATTCTCCGCGAACTGGGTCGCGGGAGACACCTAGTAGGTAATAAATTCGACAAGTAGTATACTAGAAGCGACCTTTTCATCTAGCGCATGGTAGTTAATCAACCATCAACAGATAAGATGCTATCTAATCAAACAACAAATAACACTTATCGGGACAATTGCAACCTTCCAAGACGCCGAAAACAAGTTCCAGGTAAAATGTCGTCCACAAATGATACTGCGCAATTATAAATGAATTTAGCATTTGTACATTTAATATCGTAACGTGTATTTACAGTTATTATAACGATAAAGTGTAATTACTTAATTGCCGCTAACGAAAACACTGATATACTTATAGATAGACGCTCTATATCTTTAGGTAAAAAAGTACGTCAATTTATCATTAAAAGTTTATTGATTACGTAAAAATTGAAGTCAAGGTCAAAGTTGCGAAAGCTTCCTGGATGCTGGTAGCACAGGATCGGTCATCGTGGCCTATGCCCAGCAGTGGGCGACTCATGGCTGACAAGAAGAAGAAGAAGAAGAAAAATAGATGACGCAAGAAATTAATTAGAGGAAAAATAATTAGTGGGAAATTAAAAGGAGTTAGTGTTTTTAAATCAATCCTATGATTTATAATGAAATCCCTGAACTTTATGTTACATATTTAACATAAGCTGATAGCTCTATAACCTGCACATATCTGAGAAGAAATTCAAAGATATGTGTGAAGTCAATCAACCCGTACTTGGCCAGCGTGGTTGACTATGACCTAGTCACCCCTTAGTGTAGGTTCCGAGCCCCTCAGTAGGTACGTATAGTGTAGTAGATGATGATGATGATGAAAGCTATATAAATTTCATTACATAAATGTACTTATTTACATAAAGTAATACATATTTACTACAACTTTATTGTCGGTTAACTTAACAGACTATATATCAATATTGATAATCATGTAAATATTTAAACATCAATGAAATATTCAGTGCGAGTCATTCGAGCAGTGAAATAATTCTTAGTTTGTTCTAACATGGATCTCGATCCATAAATTATAATAAATTTTCATTTAGTTACATTAAATTAAGGAATAGTAATTTACCGAGAATATTGACGCCTTATTGTTAAAGATATTGTAGTGGCAGTTATACGTTATTTTTAACTGAAATTATTTTAACCAATGGCTATTTTAAAGGTAGGCAACGCATATGCAATTTCGTATGTCTATGGGTCACTTCGCTATTTCAGCGATTTCAGGTGGCTGCTCGCTCGTTTGCCACCTTATGCTATAAAAAAATTAAGAATTTGGACTAGCGACTAGGGAGGAGTGGCGGTGCCTCGTGAAGCGGGTCACTGGTACTTGATGACCAGTCTGAAAAGACTGAAACGACTAAGAAGAATTAAGAATTTGTATGTTTTTTGTGTAAACTTAGTTCCTTATGAAATAAAATACTTTGGAAGTATTAAGTATCACGAAATAAAAGTTTGACCAGTTGATAATTTTTTCAAACATATGTAAAATATTTTAGCGTCACAAATACAAATAATTTCTATCTCGAACAGTTAATTCAAGGGACACTATCTCGTCTACATCTGAGCGGAGCGGTAGGCGATGTGGAGAAACGTTCGCTCGTAAGTTCTATACAAAATGTAAATACGAAAAAGAGACACGAAATACATTTCTTTTTAAACATTTACGTTATTGAAATGACCGGGTATTACAACCCGGGGTCCATTACTAACTGCACCGCCCGCATACATATTCATATCTTTAAGTTACCAAACCAAAAAGTACAGATAAAGTAGTCGTACAACTTCGGAGCAAGAAAGATGGTAGAAACTCGATCAGGCGCGACATTAGTCCGAGAGAGACGGACGAAGAAAGTGGTGAAGTGCGAGTGGGACAGACGATCGGGAGGCTTTTACGGTAGAGCTGGCAGCTTGTAGTGAAATGTGGGGCCGACGCTCGCCTTCTTTTTCGATCTCGCTACAATAAATTGATTTTAAGATTAATCTTTTTATATCGACTTTGTAACCAACGGCCAAAGTTTTTCGCTTTTTGTAATGATCAATATAAAAACACATGCGTATAAAATTTTACAGTATTTTTATCTAGTTGAAATTCATCATACTTTCATATTTATTATAAATTTTCTTAAACTGTAATTTGGTAATGAATGATCTTTAACAACCTCTGACTACCTCATAACGGCTTGTTGTTATAACTTTTCGCAGTATGCTGGTCAACTGTAAATATCCATAGTCTTCAAACTGTCTTATTCTTGTATCTTCAAAGATATAAAAACATAATGCATAAACGACACACAGGAAACCTTGTGAAAATACTCTGTAAGTACTATCGGGGAATCTGGGGGTATTCCACTTTAAAGGCGAGAGTCGTTTAAAGATTTATTAAGCATTAAGACGACGTTGAAACAATAACCAAAAAATCGCCGATTAAAATTTATACGCATTTGTATGAAAACAGGTTGGACACGACTAATTGCTTTTGACTATTATGCCGTCGTTTTCAACACACTGCTAACTAATTGGTTATTTTGTAAAAAGGCTCGGATGTCGCGTAATATAGAATAAGGAAATTTTTTGTAAGTGGAACACCGCGAAGGGCTCTGACTGTACACACGGGACAGTAAAAGCGTCGCTCGTTTTTATTGTTGATACCCTTTCAGATGGAAACGGTCAGAGCAATCGTAAAACCCTTAATGTTTCCACTGACGTATAACTGTTAAATAAACAGAAGCAAAGTTGCTTCAGACAAAATAGAGCAGTGGCAACTGTACGACAGAATTAAAATTAGGGCGGAACGTAACATTTATGAATAAGCATATTATTTTAGATATAATATTATACATTTTTAAATTCCGACAAACTAATTCAAAACGCGACAAAAACATCAACCTCGCCGGGCCATGTGAGTTTGGTGCATACGCATATAAGTCTGAAGTATCTTGTACTACATCTAGACCGTTTAAGCTAAGTCAGATTTCAATTTTCAACTACGACTTACAGATAATGATATGTAAAAGCATACATTTTAAATGTTGTCCATATTCAAAAGTTTGTTAATTAAAATAATCGGCAAAGATATAGCAGAGGTTCATAATTAATAATCAGCAGAGGAATTCAGACTAAAAAAGAATAAATAACATTAGTATACTAAGCGGTCTACAGCAACATATCAATATGGACATTAATATCGGTTTCGAATTCGAATCCGATAATTAATTAACATTTTCTGATATCACCAGAAGCTAAGAGCCCATACAATTCTGTATAAACTGTTGAATGATGCATGAGATAAACGTTTAATAATAAAATAGAAATCCTGCGCTTTTAATTATTCACATTAAAGGAAAATACATGTTTAAACCATTAATACAAACTGAGAAAGACGCTATTGTAAGTAGAAAGAATAAGGCAAAGCTATCTAATTGAAAGTACACTGTAACATCAGCAATATATAAACTAGACCTGTTTGTTGAACATTTTGTGAAGAAGAAAGTCACAATTAATCATATGGTGCTTGGTTCAAAAACATTATTATTTTAAGGATAATTCTTTGCATTATTAAATTTAATTATTTAATCAATCAATTGCAATAAAAATACGGAGGTGAAATCAATAAAGCGTTCTCGTCCATTCGAAATGTCAATGCGCTCTGTGAGAACTAAATTGCTGTTTTATGGTAATGAGCGACTTGTGACGGTAACAATGTAGAGCTACCTAATTAAATATGTCTCTCGTTCCATAAATTAACAGCACCGCACCTGCCTATATTATCCTCTAAAATAATCAAGCAAATACTATTTGTAATTCGGTATGCAGCTTGCCTATTGTTGGTACGGACTGCGGACTGGACATTACTTTTGACTATGCTTTTAATTCTTGAATATTTATCTTTCACTAAACTAATACTTCACCAAATATTCAAATTATTAATTTAACTCCTTTTAAAATTGTGATATGGCAACGAAATTTCGCTGTCCAATAGTGAAAGCTTTAAAGATAGTAATCAATAATTGGCTTTAGTAACCCGCTTTTTCTTTATGGAAAGAATTATTTAAGTAAAACGAGATGCAAGCAAAGATATCGATACTTTTAAGAATAACGTCAAAATTTTCATGCTCTACATCCTGAACAGATTTATCGATTGTTATTAATTATTTTAGTATTCAATTACTTTTTTTCTTTTCCAGATGATTTTTCGAGCGCAATGTCGGACAACGGTGGACCGGTTGTATCTCGGGCGTCCACTCCGCGCCCTGCAGGTGACAGTCCTGTCACTGCCCCACTACGTTCTAGACATGATCAATTTATAGCTAGCTCAGCTGAAAGGACTCAACAACGACCGCCGTCCAGCGGTAGAAGTCAAAGCGGCAGCTACGATGCTTCGATACCCTATCACCGGCAGATAACGACTGGCTCGCTCCTCGCGTCATCTCACCGCGAATCCTCAGCCTTCGTTCCCGTCGTACCCACCAGAGCGATGCACCCTGTAATCTATCCCAACGAAATGCATCCAGCTCTAATGCCCTCGGAAATAATTGAACGCGAACGAATGCTCGACAGAGATAGATCGGAGCCTGCAAAAGGTTCACCTGATCGAAATTCTGCCAACTTCACAAAAAGGAACTCTTTTGACCTTATGGCTATGATGGTAGAAAAACGTAAAGAGGTAGCTTTACGTGAGGCGGCAGCAGCGATGCTGTTACCCCATCACAGAACGCCGTCGATAGACGGAATGATATCAGACAGTTCATCTCAACCGCCTATATACGGACCACCCGGTGCTTTCCTTGGCGCGCCAGGACCTTCACCGACAGCCGCGAACACTTTCACATTCCCCGGCGCAGGGCTATTCCCGCCCGGAGCGGGCCCGCACCAGATGCATCCGCATATAGACAGGCGGCTCCTGAGAGCGCCTGGCAGAGCCTCCAGACCGAAGAAACAGTTCATTTGCAAATTCTGTAACCGACAATTCACCAAATCCTACAATCTTCTGATCCACGAGAGGACTCATACGGACGAGCGACCCTATTCATGCGACATCTGTGGCAAGGCGTTCCGAAGGCAAGATCATTTACGAGATCACAGGTAAGACAATTAACAATATATTTAATACGAATAGGAAGAAACAATTTAAAATTAATTTCGCTAAAACTCTGTTTTTTTTGCTCAAACTCAAATGTGCATAGCTCTGCGTGTTTTTATAATTCGTAATTACTCTTCCAATTTTATGAATGTTAAAAAATTTACATGCATATCTTTAATCCTAACCCTTCATTCTTCATTATCAGAGCGTGACTCATGTTTGTATTTTATAATTCTGTTAGGTCTGGTAGCGATAAGTAGTGTCTTTATATGCAAGCGGCAGTCGGTGTAACTCAAGTTGCAGATGTGCAGCCGACCGTCGCCGCATCCGGCCTTTACTCGGAAACAGAATATTTATAAAGTTTCTTGATCGTAGTACAAACTTCTTGGAAATTACACAATTTGATAGACAATTAAAACTACAAAACTGTACAGCGGCCTGTATGTTAACGAACATTGGAATTTAAACGTCAACCGCTAATTAGATATGTAATCGATAAAAATTTACGACATAATTTGCTTACAATAGATTATTTTTATGACACAAAAGTCAATTAATAATTTCAAATCGAATTTTTAACTTTTAAAAATATTAACTTTTGCATTATTTTTATTATAATGAACGATTTTAAACTAGGAATATTTTTCAAATATTTTTATATTGATCCTTAAGCTGGACTTCAAAGAGTAATGTATTTAATCCGATTTAAGGAATCGTATGGTCGAATTGTAAATGTAAAAAGCGAAGGCTTGCGTACCGCGATCCGGGTCGATGGCATTCCGAGCGATTCAGATCATTTTATTGCACATTATAAAAAAGTCAAGAGCTCTACACTATAAGAGGCTTCTGTTATTATAATGTTATAACGAATGTTAAAATATGTGACGTCATTTTAATGGAGAATTTTACTTCAAATGTACAGTCAGCATAAATTTATTTTTAATTCTGATGATAAAAAAAAATAGTACTTATAAATTAATTTAATAACCAATTAACTTTTCGACGTCAGATCATCACACTAAAATTTATTATCCATCTGATAAATTTTTTGAAACACAAAAAATGCATACTTTTTATACAGATAGAGACATTCGTGGGAATCTTGTCATAAAATATAAAAATAGCGTTTTGAAATTTTTATTACTGGCCAATTTACTCGCTATCTAAAATAAACGAAAATTAAAACAATTTACCTGTTTGTAAAACTTCGATATGCGCAGACATCGACATTTTTAATTCTTAAATGTGTCCATGACAGTCTAGAATTATGAAAATATTTTTATTTATACTTGTCGCAATAAACAATTTTGATATCAACTTCTCCATGTCTTCATCGTAATCACGTAAGATTTGTGCACCAAGTCTTCGTCCTCCATAACGCTCTGTCATTTGTCATCTAACTTGTCACTCTATCTTGTCATGAAAATTAAGTGTCGAAAATTACACAATATAACTGTCATTTAAACAATTATAAAACATACTTTTTCCTATTTTAACATATACCTTTGTAATATGTTTTTTTTTCTGTATATGTTTTTGTTATTCATCTAATTATATCGAAGGCATCGCCCATGGAACGCAGCCTTAGTGATTTTGGATGAGTCTCGAAATTCGACTGAGTTATTCGTCTCGCATTAAGTTGCGTTGCGTTTTTTATAACGCGGTCCGTAATTAGTTTAGAATACGATGACTCATCTGTTTCTATTGGTCCCGGTAATGGAAGAAATCAGTACGTACGGACAGAAGATATATTTATTTTATGATTTTAATTTTAAAATACGTACCTTCAAAAAATTCCGTGTCACTAACGTGGAAAAGAATTATGTAAAATAAAATGATAGTAAAGATTTTACCTGAAAATACATTTCTTAAAATGTTTCATTGATCTTTAAACAAACGCCTATTGGTGGTTATATCTAAAAATTATATAAAGTAAATGACAAATAAGTGTAAATATTGCGTATAAAAGTTAAATTTTTACGTTTTTTGCTGACGCTACCATAGTTTGGCTTTAGTATAGAACATTTGAAGTTTACAATTTGAAGGTTTTGATTTTTTTTTTCAAAAGCACTTACATTTCATCATCGTTTTCCATTTTAAAAACTTTCCACACTGCATAAATTCATCGACATTCCTGGCCACGTTGTTTTTTATTCAAAAATGACACTTTATATTATATTATCATCAAATAATTGTAAGCATGTTCATATGAACAAATAATCACAAAATTATAATGCGCAGTCGCAATGTTTTCGTCGCGGCCGTCATTATATTATGATTGCCTTAATAATCGAGATGCAAAGCATAATGCCTGGTTATTATATCCCCTGCTATAATTAATATCCTCGCAAAGAACTGACGCCTTTGACCCGCCAAGGACAGCCAAACTGCACGCTGATTTCACGATTCGCCGAAAAATTTGATATTCCATCACGACTGGATTATATCCATAGCAACATTAATATGTTAGTAATTAATTTAACTATGATACGACACGTTTTTTATAATACGTTGGTAAAAAAAACATTAAAAAATGAGACAAAGAAATGTAGGCGGTAAAAGTTTAGACAAAATTTCCATTTGATTTCTGTTCCAATATTCGATGCGATTACCTCAAAATTATCTGTTTTTATTGTGACTGAATAGTCACTGTTTGCCTTGAAGAGGCATTTACAGCTTCACCGGGCTTGAGGTGGCCGAGCGCAGATGGCGCTTAGCCTGAACCTCGTTTAAGAGTAACAAGACTCGAGGGCTCCCTCATGAGCCTCGGCTCGGGCTGTTACTTGGTTATGGTTACCGGATTGGGAACTTATCTGGTTAAAGTTGCATTGAAATAATGCTTTTATCAGCACCAAATAAACATATAGGTAACAATAGGTATTTGTTGTAAACTTCAATACTTTTAGATTAAGGTTTTTAATTTTATTATTTTGATGGTTCGAAATATCAAATAAATTCTGATCCTAGCAACCGAATTCTTCTCTGAATCTTTAAAAATTTAATCTGCATAAAAGTTATACGTCTAAAAATACATTAACGAAGATTATTTTCATAAAAGATGGGAAACTATTAAATATGAACAACGTTCTCACCATAAACCTGTACTCGAGTTGCGAGGTATAAAAATATGCCGCCATAAGCGTGAGGCAAATTGATATAGGCAATAACTATACAAAAAATACTGTGAACTAAACCTATAATTATTGAAAGTTTATTATCCAGTACAAAATATTGTTAAGTTTACGTTAATTGTTTTGCATAGTTTTGAAACAAATTGTCCGATTTAAAATCCTTTAGTTGCTGATGAAAAATGTGGGAAATATTTCTCGGATTCTTATGTTAAAATTAGTACTAATAGTTAAGTTGTTTTGGTTCGTAAAATATTACTTTGTATTTTAAATAGTCAGTTGCGTTATAAAAAAAATAATTTATCAAGCCAACTGAAATTCTTTGACTTTTTATATTTTTTTTCTTTATTAGTCTGTCCATGAGTTATTATCGTATCGAAGTTTGCATTATCTCGGGGCTCATATGCAATTATGATTGGTCCGAGACCACATATAATGGGGACCGAGTAAACCTCCATGCGATCGCTCAAGGGGCTGCAGCAAAAAGGGATATCAAATTAATACTGAATCCATAATAAATCAGAGGGCAGGTGGACGCGAAGTGAATTTCGCCTACGGATATCTTTTGAATTGATCGCGTTTTAACCGATCTTTGCGTGTTTCTATGTTTATTTCGATTGAATATTCAAATTCCAGATACATATCTGGAATTTTAAATATTTAAATAATGACATAATTTTTTTAAACGTGTCAAAAGATAGAATCTGATTTCATTTTCGCATGCGACACATATAAATAATATTCTTTATCACCAAACAATTGTATATCATCTTTAGTCGAATGTCTATTTTTTTAACTCCTACAGCTATTTAATAACTAGTTGTTGCTCCAACAAAACGATAATTGTTACTTCCTTTACCATTACAAGTGTTTTAACTATTTGGAACTATCGCAGCTGTTCGTTAAAAAAGAAACATCAATCCAACCGCTATAGAACTGGTTTTAACATATATACAATTATATGATCGTCCATTTGAAATAATCGTGACCGTGGTTGAAGAATAATTAGACAGAAACGTTGTGCTCGCTCCGATCGCTGATTTCACAGTTTCTTATTGGATTTTGAAAGTTCTGTTTAATAGTGTTGCAGCTCTTGTTGCAGCAATTTTAGTATTTTCTTATATTATAAGGTGGCAAACGAGTGAGCGGCCACCTGAAATCGCTGAAATAGCGAAATGACCGTTGCCCATAGACATACGCAATTGCTTATGCGTTGCCTACCTTTAATCGACAGAGGAGAGGATGTACAGAAATAAAATATTTTCTCTTTCCATGCATCCTCTCATCCGGAAAGTCCACTTCCACTTCCCATCGTTTCCTTATAAGAAAAACGGTGGGAAGAGAAAGAGGACTAAATGAGGCCTCTGGGACGCACACTCGTCTAACGAAACGCGGAATTGCTTCCACTTCACGCCTGTCTTGTGAGTGGTCGTGGTATTTCACCGGGCGAGCAGGGCCAATTCGTGCGAAGATGTTAAAGTGGTCTCTACCACTGTAATATTGAAAATGTTTTTATATAAAAGCCAATACCTGTATCGCAGAAATGAGGACTGTTTATTTATTAAGAAATAAGTCAGTAAATTGCCGGAGGGGAACTCGATATCGGAACAACAATCTTCGGTGGCAGAATCTGTTTTTACAGAGAATTCGAACGGAGCAGATTCGTATGCATAATATGAATCGCAAACTCGAATGTTAATCTTAAATATAATGCATAAATGTAATCGAGAACACCGAACACATTTAGAGCAGACATTAATTGGTCTATACTTGAATAATTCAGATGCTATTATATCCAAATCGATAAGAAAGAAGTGGAATTATTTAAATTATACATTTTGAGTTTGGCGTGTCTGGTTGCAGATAATTTTTTT